AGAGAGAGAGAGAGAGAGAGAGAGAGAGAGAGAGAGAGAGAGAGAGAATAATTAAACAGGAAGAGGCGGGCTGGGAGAAATGTAGCACCTGCAGGAGGAGAGACTTAGAGGGAGCTTCTAATAATGCATTTTAGAATTTAGTGCAGATTCTTTTTTTAAGTTTTCTCAGTTTTGTTTTTAATGTGTGTGCATGCCTGTGCATGTGTGTAAGGCACCGCATGTGTGTAGGTGTCCTCAGAGGTCAGAAGCGGTGTTCAAGTCCCATTACAGGTAGTTGTAAACAGCCTGATGTGGGCGCTGACACCTGAACTTGGGGGCCCAGTAAGAACAGCAAGTGCCTTTAACTGCTGAGCCATCTCTCCAGCCCCTTAATGTGGATTCTTAGTGTTGCCATGATTAGGAGGGGAGTTGGAACCATCGACTATGGGGGTGCTGGTGCCCCTGGCAGTCAGAGGAGCCCCTGTAGTGCAGACCACGGTGGGAAGTCAGCTGTGCACTAATACCTGTGACAGCCAGTGTGTGCAGTCCTGTCTTTACACATAAAGTTTTCCTTTGGTTTTATTCCTTATGTCTAGCTGTTTCTCTTCTGCTTTTGTTTTCATAAATAAATATGCAGAAATGTCTTAATTTTTATGGTGTCTGTTGTGCAAACTTTTCTTGGAGAAAAATCATTTTATGAAGATTATGTGTGTTTGTGTGTGTTCGTATGTATATGGGCACCTGTGTGGATGTTGCACATGTGTGTGAAGACCAGAGAACTACCAGCCTCAGATGCTCTTGCCCACCACCTTTGAGTCAAGGTCTCACTGGCCTGGTACTCACCCATTCTGCTTGACTGGATGGCTCTCAAGCCCAGGTTCATGTCTCTGCCTCCTCAGCTCTGGGATTAAAGCACAGGCCGCCGTGTCTGGCTCATAGGCTGCCACACCGGGGCTTGTTTCATTTATTTATTTTGGTGGGCTCTGGGGATCATGTAAGGCCAGTGCTTTACCAATGGAGCTCCCCCCCACACACACACACCCTGGTTTTGTTTTGAAAGTACTAGCTTCCACCACATGTAGCCTGCAGGGAGCAGGAGTTTGGGGGAGAACTGGAGGAGTATGGGCAACAATGCAGAGCCCCCCTGAAATGAATCCTAGTGCTTGTGTGGAATATTAACGAAGTGCTGTTTAAGTCTTCTTGGTGTTGGTCTTTAGAGAAACCTGTACTGCCGTGGACAGGGCCCAAGGAAGGGGACTGGAAACAGAGTGGATCCGAGTTTGTCACCTTTCATGGCAGTGACCTTCGTGGACATCGGTGGACCCGCCCACTCGTTCTTCATGTGGTGCAGAAACCTTTATGTTCTGGTGCGCTTGAAAGGAAAAGTAGTTTTCTGACTCAATTCCGTTAATTCACTGATTTAGAGTGCTGATGCTCCAGGTACCCGTTTAGGGAGATGCGCATTTCGGCTCCTAGAAAGCTGTCTTGGTAAGGGACATGGGCCTGATGACTTGGAGTTTCCAAGTCTGTCTTTTGCTTCTGTCGCCCTCCTTTGGAGGCTGCAGCTCTCCCAGGTCCTTCTTGGAGCGCGACAGACCTTTTCCTGGCATGTGCAGTCTGTTTCTGAGATGGCCATCAGAAACAGCCTTTCTCTGTTGTTTGTTATTTGTCTTCCTGTAAGTCTTCGACTGACCTCCTCCTTGCCTCTGCTGGTGTTGTGCCCAGGGCAGTGGGGTTGAACTTCACCACTGACTGTTTTTGCCAGTCTCTGGGGTACAGGCTTCCCTGAGGAACTGGATGGACAATGTCCCCAGAATGGGACTTTTCAGACATTTAACACAAGTAAGGTAGTGACCACAGAGTCAGGGAGATGGCTCAGTGGGTAAAGGAGCCTGCTGTCAAGTCTGAGGAACGAAGTTTCACCCCTGGGATCCATGTGGTGGAAAGAGAGGACCCCAGCTTCCACAAGGTGTCTCCTGTGTGTGTGTGTGTGTGTGTGTGTGTGTGTGTGCACGCAGAAGTGATTTGTGTGTCCGTTGTGGGTTATGTCTGGTTTGCCTGTGTCCCCAGAACTTGTTTCCACTGCCTCCTGGAGGGGTTAGTATGTATTGCAAGGAAAGAGTTCTCGTGAGAGTAAGTCTTCCCCTTTGCTATGACTTCCTGCCCTGCCCTGATTCCATTTGCCCTGGTATGTAACCGAGGTGGCCTCCACCACAGGCCAGACCAGCAGCCTCCAGAACCATGAATTAAACATGCCTCTCTCTTGGATGTTTTATTATAACCCCAGGAACATGGATGGATACAGCATCTGTCTTAGTGTGCTGTATCCTAAGGCACACATCGTGGGTCTATCCCATCGGTGATGAGATGCATAGTGACCATGTGGTTAATGTATTCACCAAGTTTCTCAGCTGTGTTTCATGTTGTAATTGATAAGTGTGTGTGTGTCTGTGACTATGGCACACACATGCCATGGTGCATATATGGAGGTCAAAGGACAGCATTAGGGAGCCATTTCTCTTCTCACTCCTTCTTTGAGGTAGGGTCTGTCAAGGTGTTTCTGCCCCTGGGCTGTTTGCATGAGATGCATGGTTCTCTTGCCTCACTTCTCGTGGTAGGAATGCTGGCATTACAGATGCACACGTTCTTCTGAATTTTCACGTGAGTGCTGGGGATTGGATTCCACTCACCCAGTTCGCATGGCCAATGCTTTTCTATGCCAAACCAACTTGCTGGTGCCAGTAAGTGATTTTATGGGAGACGGTCTGGTTATAGCCTGTTCTTCCCCTGGAACCCCACCCTGGCGTGTGGATAAAGATGATTCATGTCCATCCGTGCACTAGCTGAAGCATGAGATTGAAGCTGAATCAGTTTTATAGTCCCACTAAGTTATTCTTGATAAGCAAATAGCGGCAGAGAGCCAGCCAACCTCACACTATTTATCTAGTAGACTGATTGACAAACCACCAGGCAAACACTGCCCAGTGTTTATAAGCTGAGCTACAGACAACGTCCAAGAAAGTCAGGAGCCTGGCAAGTTCTCAAGCACCAGGTCCTGCTGAGACTCCAGTGACCTTGGCTGGGATCATTCTCCAGCCCTCCTCTCTTCCCAAGATCAGGAAACCCTCCCTTCTCTGGGAGTTGCTGAAAGCTCATTTTAAATTTTAAAATTTTATCAGTGTGTGTGTGTGTGTGCGTGTGTGCATGTGTGTGTGTGTGTGTGCACGCGCATGTGTGCATGTATGCTCAAGTGCATGTGTGCCCACTGGAGACCAGAAGAGGGTGTCGCATCCCCTGGAGCTGGAGGGTCATGAGCTGCCGTCTGGGAATAGCGATTGATTGTAACCTCTGAGCCACCCCGCCAGTCCCTGCATAGGGAGCGTTTGAAGAGTTTTAACAGAAGTCGCACGAAGAGGAGACTGGGCATCATTCCCACCAGCGCGGGCAGTTCACACACAGCCGCTTGCAACAAGACCCAGGGAGGGCCATTCCCGAGCTCCGGTGGCCTGCCCCGTGAGGTGGACACTTGCTGATTAGTATCTCAAAGGGCTGATATGTTTGTGGCTTTCACATCGTCCCTGGGATGGGGCTCTCCGTTCCTGGGATGGGGTCTCCTGTGGTTTGGGCTGCCCTTGAACTTGATGCGTGGCCTTGAACTCCTGATCCTCCTGCCTCCACCACTCTGTGCTGAGATTACAGGCCACCACCCAGTTAGTGCGTAGCTTCTTTGTTTCTCTGCCTGTTTCTTTGAGGCAGGATCTTGCCTTGCAGCCTGAGTTGATCTCAAACTTGGGGGGACCTTCCTGTCTCAGTCTCTTAGGTGCTGGCATGACAGGCCTGCATCTAGCTACTTACAAATACCAATCAGCTTTTTGGTTTTATTTTGTTTTGACACGAGGTCTCACATAGTTCAGGCTGCCCTCAAACTCGCTACATAGCAGAAGGTAATCTTGAACTCCTGATCCTCCTGCCTCCACCTCAGGTGCTGGATTTGTGTTTCTGTGGTGCTAAGGGTTGAACCCAGGGCTCCATGACTCCTAGGTAAGCTCTGTGCTGACTGAGCCACATCCCCAGTCTCGTTTATTTAAGTCATCTGTGTAGATAATAACCGTCCATGGAGTCATGCATATTTTTATTGCTGTGTAGTAATCCTGGATGTTATTTTGATGCGATTCTCAGAAAGCATATAATTTTATTTATTAATATGTCTGTAGGCCAGGCATGGTGTTGTGCGCACTTTTAACCTCAGCACTTGGGAGGCATAAGCCAGTAGATCTCTGTGAGTTCCAGGACAGCCAGGGCTAGCTACATAGTGAAACCCTGTCCTAAATAAATAAGTAGGTAACTCTAGGATAAGGAGTCTAAATAGATCCTACATTAATGTCGGTGGCCATGTCAGAGGAGCAGCAGATGGCAGTTGGTTTCAGGGGAACAAAACAGGCAAGGCCCCAGACCCCAGAATGTCTCTTGCTTCTGCCCTGCCTTCACACGTTTGCTGCCACCGTCTTTCTCTGGTATCTCTGCAATGGTGTGAATGTGTGTGGGGAGATCCCCACTGCCCTTAATCCTCTGTCCGCCCACTGCCCTTAATGCAAATATCCCTTTCTTTTTTTTTTAATATTTATTTATTTATCATGTATACAATATCCTGTCTGTGTGTATGTCTGCAGGCCAGAAGAGGGCACCAGACCTCATCACAGTTGGTTGTGAGCCACCATGTGGTTGCCGGAAATTGAACTCAGAACCTTTGGAAGAGCAGGCAATGCTCTTAACCACTGAGCCATCTCTCCAGCCCCGCAAATATCCCTTTCTACTCGGCATTTTTACCTGTGGATTATTGCGAAGATGATTTCCTCCTAAGCTGTAGTGTTTAACTGAAACAATGATTTTATACAATAACAGTGTCAGTTTAGATAGGACTTTGATGATCAAGGGCTTTAAATAAATATAGTAAGGGGTTATGGATGATAGAGGTTAGTTCAGTG